TTTGTGGCGCTTCCCTTGAGCTTCCACCACTTTCTTGTTTTCGGGATTTGTCAGTAAGGACCGCTTCATCTCAGGTGATGATAGGTAGAAACAATGGCACGGTAATTCGAAAAGAACGAAAAATCACAATAACATAAAAAAGTGATGGGATTTATCCAAATTGTGATCTTTTGGGAAGCAATCTTTTTGTTAACTAAAAATCACAATCACATTAAAAAGTGATGGGATTTATCCAAATTGTGATCTTTTCGAGAAGCAATCTTTTGTTAAATACGGTATATCAAAATATATAGCTATGCCATTGGTGGGCTTTTACACAAAAAAGATAAATATTATTTGATGTTGTATGAATATGATTGATAACATATTTATTGTTAAAAATTCGAACAATGTTAATGGCGGAACTAGGTTACCCGTTAGGTAGTGCCATCGTAATTCCTTCCCTCTGCAGTTATGATCTATGTAACTCGTCGTGTCAGGGTGTCACCAATGAATTGGTGTGATAATGTTCCAGCAACACCTTCCTCAGCAGTTATTGTAACAAAATACGTGCTGTACTATCGTACAGTACATGATATGTGCGTACACAATTTTACGAACATAATTGACATTTCTTGATGACCATGCCACACTTCTTGTCACATTGGCACCACTTCGATGAACTTATCTCGCCAAATAGATGGATACGATCACACACAGTCAAATCAAAAGTATAAACTGCTGTGTTATTCGAAACACAGACACAGCGGCAAAGTGAAACCGAACTTCGATCGTTAAATATACACAAATTTGCACGATGCGTTGAGAAGTTGAGAACACTTGTAAAAGGCACAAATCTGCTTAGTCTATTAGAATGTGATGTATGATGGACAAGTTTTCCGCTACAACGATTCGAGCAATATCTGACACAATTGTGTGGAATATAGTCCCAATTCCTTCCATTATAATCAATGCTTTGGTTGATTGCAGCACAGTGGAATCCTGGCTAATAAACAAACCATACGCGAATGATTTGGGCTGAGGCTGAGATTACGAGAGAGTTGAATCGTTGTGATATACGTAGGATTAGGCTGACCAGCTAAATCAGTCGTTTAAAGCAGGGACAGTGATCACGAAAAAGAAACTTTGTTGGAATCATTCGGATTAGTGTACGCCCAGTGATATAACATCGATAATGTCTAGCTTTAACGACGCAATTAATGAAGTCATCATTTTAGAATCAAAGTTAGATTGCAGGGTGTTGGTACCCCGTAGAACGCTATTTTGGGATCCTGATCAAGACCTTCAATGCTAATGATGCTGGCCTCGATAGTAATTTTGTACCGCTTAGGACGAAAAGTTTCTTAAATTTTGATTCCGACGTTTTTAATTTGTAATTTGGTGCGTTGTTGTCCAGCAACTACTATTTTCCAGGATGACCACAGAAGTGGCGTAATACGGAAGTTACTCGCTTGCTGATAGGGTCAACATTCATGATCTTTAGAACGTAGTTTAGCTCCTAAAGACTGAAACTTCGTACGGCTTATGGGTTTGATCAAAAAAGTCAGTGACGGGGGAGAAAAAGGAAGGTAGTGGAAACTGATTGGCAGAATTTGCGCGCTCAGTCTGCTCAGCATTCAAAATCTGTGATTGAGGTAATTTTCAGAGCTCATTTTTATCAAGTGTTGTTATCTTCCAAACTTAACTAGCTTGCATTACTGAGTCAAATCACTCCGACAGCTTCAATACTACTCTGTCCCAGTCTTTCATGAGGTTATCTAGTGTTGCAAGAGCAATAACATCATTAGATTAGGTAAATAACGCTAATCTTTCATCTCAAGATTCTTTTTCTAGTTACCTTCTTCTCCATCGATATTTTTCAAATCGGATTTCATGTTTTTTTTGAGCTTGCGGAGTTGCGAATCAAACTTTCTCAGCGCCCTAAATTTGCCAATGACGTTCGTATCTCTGGGCAGATCATTTAGCAACTTCTGTCGTCGATGAGCGTAATACAGCTTAAGATTTGCGAGACGCAACTGAAATTGATGGCTGTCCACGAAAGAGTCAAAATAGCCTGTGTAATGCAACGTTGTGGATTAAGGTTGCTGAACATGATCGAAAGGTTGTATCTGCTTACCTTCATCTATCCACGGAGTCTTTTTTTGTAGAAATTCTTTATAAGCCGACTCAGTAATCGTTATATCTTTCAGCGTCGACTGTTCGAACTCCTCGTAATGCTTCAAAACTTTCTGAATATTATCATTTTCGCTATGTATGAATTTCTTGAAATCCATCAATGCATAGAAGTTCGGAATGCCTTTGAGCAACTCAATGATTTCGCTATCGTTAGCCCTTTCTTCCATTGTAGGAGATTGAACTCGTAAATTACGTGCCGTGTGGCTTTCCTGCTCATTGTCAATTGTGACGTGGTCGCTAACTGCTTGCCGTAAAGCAGATGACGATCACGCCAAATTTTACATAAGATCGATTTTT